ACAAAAGCACCTCTTAATCTATGCCTTTAAGCAGGAGGTATTCTGCACCTCTTAATCTATGCCTTTAAGCAGGAGGTATTCTGCAGCTATTTAGATTGCAAGGTCTTGTTCATTTGCAGGTCCGTGGATTTATAATGCATGCTTGGGGATTGCAAAGGTATTTAAAACATGTCCCCACCCCTCCGTCTAAAGAAACCACTGTCATGATTTACCTTCACAATGCAACAAGTACAGAAAACACAGCCACCCTGAAATTCTGCAAACTGGTGTGTTGCACGGACTTATAGTAATTCAAAGTGAGAAGTAAATGCAATTCGTAGAAAGGACGGTGGGATTTGGCTGCATTTTTGGTGAAACTTCTGCTGTTGGAGCTTAGGGGAACCTCCTTTTATAGAAACAGCTTGTTTCTGGAGAAGGCAGCTTTAGCGATGATCGTGGGTGACCAAAGATGGTATTGGCAGTGGCCATTTTACTCCATTTCATGGTACTAACAATTTTAATGCTGCTTTTGATAAGCTTTTGGAAAGTTTATCACTTTTTCAAAACAGACTGGATTTTTAAAATTTTGATAAAATTTCCCTTGTTTTCTCTGAGTTTATCATCATCTACCAGGATGAGGAAAATCCATGTTACTGGTGTCTCTATTTTGGTCTTTAAATTTCCAAAATTACATAAATGTCTTAACGACTTGACCTGAAGCCCTTTTGGGACATTGAAAACAAACAAAAAAAATGAGTTATTTATTTATCTATTTATTTATTTGGCTTTCAAACGGATGCTGTTGTATTATTTTATTTTAATTTTATCATTATACAATGTAAACAATTTTTTTTAAATGTGAGTTTTTATTTCCAAACATGTCCTCAGACAAAAAGAAGATGATGTTTAAAAACCCTATCAGATTCTGCTTGTAGAAGTATTAGCGTAGTATTAGGTGATTAGATAACACGGACGTGAGTTACTGTCTTGTCTGAAAAGCTCATCTTTAGATGCCAGTAGGAAGTCCCTTTTTTTCCAATAGGTTTTCATTTGGGGAAATTAATTTTAAGGGACAACAGTTTTTGAATAATGAACACTTAAAAAGGCACCATCGTGGAGAACAAAGCACAGTCCCTAAGAGCAATTCCCACGAGCGCTGGCGATGCGTAGAACTCAAACTTGGCCCTTTCGCCCACCACTCTGAGTAATTTCAGCAACAGGAAGGAATTGGGGTCCGGCTGTTCCTCACTTTTACTAAAGGAAACCAAGTTTTTGAGAACGTGGATGTCTTAGGCCACATTCCTGAGCACGCTTTAGAGGCTGAGGTTTCTAACCCCGGTTCCTTGCTCCAGCTCCTGTGGACTTTCGGTTTCTTCTTCTGGGCTCAGCCAGGGTGTGTCAACCTGGGGCTTTTAGGGAAAATCTCTTTGCTGTTGAAGCACCGTCACATCACAAAGCTCGCCTTGTGCTAGCTGCTAATTCATGTTCCTCACTGGCTTTGAGCTAGTTTTTTCTTTCTTTCTTTCTTTTTTTTTTTTAACTCACGCCACTTTACATAGGCAGGATATTTCCAAAGTGGAATTCAGAAGAACTCCAGCCTATGGGATGGTCTTAGGAAAAGAATGCTTTGTTCCTCTTAGCCAGGGCTCCACAAAATAGGCCGGCAGCCTTCAGTCCAGGAACAGGTTTTCACTTTATTATTAAGGACTGAATTGTGTCCTGCCAAAGTTCATCTGTTGGAGTCCTAACTTCCGGTCTCTCAGATGTGACTGTATTTGAAGATGGGGTCTTTAAAGAGGTGATTAAGGTAAACTGAGGTCACTAGGGTGGGCCCTATTCCAATAGGACTGGTGTCCTTTATAAGAAGAGATGAGGACACAGACACACAGAGGGACGACCATGTGAGGGCACAGGGAGAAGGCGGTGTCTACAAGCCAAAGAGAGACCAGCCCTGCCATGCCTTGATCTCAGACTTCCAGCCTCCAGGACTGGGAGAGAGAAATGTCTGTTGTTTAAGACCCCAGTCTGTCGTATGTTATTAAGGCAGCCCCAGCGAACCAGTACATTTGCCTAGAAGTTTGTCAGGATTATGGACCCTGGAACTCATTTTCAGGATGCAGGGTTCATGTGTGCACAGCACTTTCTTATAGGGAAGATCATAATGATTGTCACTTGTAGGTGGTTTTTCTCCCATTTATTTTTTAGCTACTAATATTGTAACAGAGTAGCAAATACTGCAGAAACAGATGTAGATTATAGTTTAAGGCAGACCTTTGTGTACCTTAGACTATTTCTTTTTTTTTTTTTTTCCTTTTTGTCTTTTTTCGTGACCGCAAAGGATCGCAACCCTCAGTGTCGCGCCCGTACCAGACCAGGACCGGCCACGGGATCGCAACCCTCGGCGCTGCGCCCGCACCTCGCTCAGCCAGTGAGCGGCCAGTCTGTATGTGGGATCCGAACCCTCGGCGGGAGCGCCGCCGTGCTCCCAAGCGGCGCACTGTAGCAGTGCGCCACCGGGCCGGCCCAGCCTTAGACTATTTCTACCAATTAAGGAAAACACTCACCAGGTGAAATGATGGGACCAAGAAAGTGGTCTCTCCTCTGCCACATCCCCGAATTCTTGCTTCATGACCGTGTTTTAAAATCTGTTTTTGGAAGAAAATGTTACTCTTATCACAGAGGAGTTTATCCCAGGCATTTAGATACAAATAACCAAAATACCAGTGGTTAGTTTTGAATTTGAACTTGATTCTTCATTCTGGCTCCGTGGAAGGTTTCTCTGCCCCCACCCTGGGGAGAAGCTGTGTTTCAGGGACATCCTTTAGTGATCGGACTGTGAAGGCGTAAACACGTGCAGGCTGCCTTTGCAGGAAGGCGGCTCAGTCTCTCCCCAGCCCTTGCTTTCCTGGGATGCTGCCGTGCGCCTCTTTGCTGAAGTCTGCAGTGTTCAGACCACCTTGCCAGCTGCTCTCAGACCCTCAGGACTGGTGGAATTGTGGATTAGACTCTGAGCTCCCACCTTTAGTAGGGAACTCACTTGGGCTGAATTTGTACCCTAGGAGTATTTGTTCCTGGGGCTGCCTTAACAGATACCACAAACTGGATGGCTTACAGCTACAGGAATTGATGTGTTCCAGTTCTGGAGGCAGAAGTCTGAGATCCAGGTGTGGCAGGGCCATGCTCCCTCCAGAGGCTCCAGGAGAGGATCCTTCCTGCCTCTTCCAGCTCCTGGTGGCTCCAGGCGTCCCTGGGCTTGTGGCTGCATCACTCCAGTCTCTGCCTCTGTCTTCATGTGGCTTCTCAGTGTTTGTGTCTCTTCTTCTGTCTTTTATGAGGACACCTGTTATTGGATTTAGGGTCACCCTAGTCCAGAGTGATCTCATCTCAAGATCCTTAACTAATAGCATCTTCAGATCCTTAACTAATAGCATCTCTGAAGACCCTATTTTTGCATAAAGTCCCTTGGCTGATACCAGAGGTTAGGACTTCAATGTCTTTTTTGGGGTATGTAGTTCAACCCACAGCAAGGGTGGGTGGTAGGGTGAGATTGATTGTATTAAGGTGACCCATAAAGAGCTGGGCCACCTCTGGGGTGTCCTTGTCACAGCATAGAGGTTGCAGTGGGCTCCAGTGAATGGTGCTTTTTTTGCATGTTGGACTATCTGTGGATCTTGTCTGTGGAACATACAGAGGGGAGAAAAAAGGAGACCAGAGAGGATGCAGGGCTGTGACTGCCAGACTGACATCTGAGGATGGGGTCTTCTGCGTCCCCTCTCTTGTCCCCCTCCTGACCCTATTCTTCACACCCACTGACCCCAAAGAAAAGTCCTGAGAGTTTGGTTTTGTTTTGCTTTTTTGCAACCACTTGGAATTCCATACCACTGTCATGTTTTTCTATGCAGATTTTCTGATGTGTTTTTCATTCTAGCAAGCTTTATAAAAAACAAAACAAAACACGAACTGAAATCCAAGTTTCTCCTATTTACATGCACCCCTTTTGTATTCTGGGCTTCGTGAAGACTCCCTTACCTGCAAGGCTGAAGAGAAGGTGCTTTTTTCTCCATCTTTCCTTTCAGACCAACGTCACCTGCAAGTGGACTGTGGGGTTGTCGGGCTGGAGAAAGAGGGAAAAAGTACAGTCCCTTTTGACGATGAGAAATGTACTTTCTGCACGTTCACACACTTCCCCGTGTTTTGTGCGAGGGTGTGTGTGTATTTCCAGTTGTCAGTGCTGAGTCAAAAGTGCTGAGTCCTTCATATTCAGGGGATTCATGTGATGTAACAGCTCTGCAGTTGTCTCAGCTCTCAGGATGGTTCTCTTTTCACATACTGTCACGTGTATGCATGTGTTCAATGACACATGCCTGTTTTTGGATGTACCTCAGAATACGTGTCGGGAATTTTCCTGGGTAAGTTGGAATTTTATAATGTCTGCTAGCTATTTGGAGATGAGAGGTCTTTTCTCTCCTTCCCGCCATACTCCCCAGACAGCAATCCTGGGTGTTTGTGTGGAGTGGGACACGAAGGCATGGATGTCACTTAGGGAGGACTGCAGAGACAAAGCAAGAAAGGCAGAAGCGTCACAGGCTGGGGGGTTCTCCCGGGGGAGACAGACCACGGTCTGTCCCACATGAGCATTTAAAGACTGGAATCGTACATGCAGAACAGTCCACAAAAACCCCAAAACCCTTCCTCATCCGGAACTCAACTGAAGAAGCGTGGATCTCTTGTGATGTTGGAGGAAACACCCACGCTGTAGACCTACTAGGACAAAGGAAGCACCCGCCCTAAAGGTGTCCACATCTTCCTAAGAGGTCGTCAAGGGCATGTCTACCTGTCTGAAATCCGGGGCCAGGTGCGTTTTGGAATTTGGAGTCTCTGTGAGTTTGGGGTGGTGATAAGGTGCATGTGCTGTTTATTATATAACATCTGTAGGGTGTGGGTGCGTGCTGTGCTGAACACGAGAGTGCTGAAACGAAGGAACACTCGCTCAATAGGGGTCAAGACTGCATAGCGTTGGCATGACGGTGAGGTCCAGGTTTGTGGCTGGGTGAGTTTAGGAAGACCCTTGGGGTCCTTAGAGCCTTTTTAGATTAAGCAATTCTGGGTAAGGGATTGTGGGACCCATACTTGAATTGTCACCTTAAAGCTTTGACTTTAGAAGTAACCTCCACATAAAATTTGATTCCTGAGTAAATTTCCTTTTTCTGCCTCAAACTGCTACCAGCTTGGGGCAGGAAGGATGGGTTGCCAGGGTGTGAAGAGCAGGGAACACTTTCCTGGGAGGGGTCTCCCTGCTGGTTCCAGGAAGGAAAAGCCTGGCCGACTGGATTAGTCTGTTTCTGTTGCTTATAACATAAATACCTGAAACTGGGTGACTTACAAAGAAAACAAAATTTATTGTTTACACTTCAGAGGGCGAAAAGTCCAAAGTCCAGCGAACACATCTGGTGAGGGTCTCTGGTGCTGGTTTTACAGCAATGCAGGGGTCTCACATGGCAGAAAATAGCAGAGCAGAGAGAGACTGTCACATGCTCTCCTTTTAAAGCCTTCAGAACCACACCCCTGGCCAGCATTATTAATCCATTCACTCCTGCATGGTCCTACAATCCAGTCACCTCCTCAAGGCTCCACCTTTCAATGACCATGATAGGATTTCCTTCCCTCAACATTTACAGTAGGGATTCAAGCTTCAACGAAGTTTCACGGCATCCAATCTACAGCACCTACCTAGAAACACTTGAAAAAACTCTTTTATGTCTTATTGGACAGAACTGGGTTATGTGGTGCTATGGTTTGAATGTGGGTCCCCTTCAAAGCTCATGTTGAAGCATGTTCCCCAATACGGTACTTGAAAGGTGGGGCCTTGAAGAGGTGATTGGAACATGAGAGCTGTGCCCTCATGAATGGGTTAATTTATTCATGGATTAAGGGGTTAAGGGATTAATGGGTTATCATGGGAGTAGACTCATGGCTTTATAAGGTGTTGAAGAAAGCTTGTTACCACGCTTAGCCCATTCTCACCATGTGATGCCCTGTGCCACTTTGGGAATCTACAGAGAGTCCCCACCCAGAAGAAGTCCCTCACCAAATGTGTCCCCTGGACCTTGGACTTTCCAGCCTCCAAACTGTAAGAGATAAATTCCATTTCTTCATAAATTACTCAGTTTCAGGTATTCTGTTATAAGCCACTGAAAATGGATTAAGACACATGGGCATCTTGAGCTGCAGAGAAGGCTAAAAATAGACATTTCTGCTTTTGTAAGTGAGGTAATGGGAGCTGGGGGAATGTTTATTGGAGAGCCTCCCAGCATCAGGAAGGGAAAATGTCTGTTTGCCTTGTCTCTTTACAGTGCAACAGTGACTCAATACTAACACCAGTAAATGATGTCTTTGTCTCCAGTGCATTTAATCTGATAGTCTTAAAAATCACAGCATACTGGTTTTGTTCTGCTCCGAACAAGGTTGTTTACTGATGTAGTTCTGTGATCTGATTGTGGCATTGCTGAGGGACCAACCCCATCTCCTAGGGTAGCACAAGATCTGCTGCAGTGCATTGGTAACCTGTTGAGTCATAGCTGTGTTGTCTTTTAAGTAAGTGTGGAGAACCCTGAGTTGAGGCTCAAATGGACGTGCTAAAAAGACAGAAATGTTAGCCAATAAATACAGTCAAGTAATGAATGGGTTGTTATCACGGGGGGATAAAGAGAGAAATAACAAAGAATTTTAGGGTGTGGCCAAAATGTAATGTTAACATGTGAGCGACATGAGACCAGACACAGTTAATTTGTCACCCAAGGGCATACATCAAGTCCATGACAAAGATTGAATAGAATGCCACTGTTTCTGATCCCAGTTGCATTTGATCCAATTAAAACGTGAGTGGCCATATAAAAAACACCTGCATTGTACAAATTAATTCTCCTCAAAGCCCTTTCCCCACATTTCCTCTCTTTGACCTGATTCCACCTAATTTGATCAAGACGAGACTGCCTTACTCTCATAAAATCCTATTTTTATCTCCAAATGATCTTTCAATGAGAAGACACTCAAACACTTATTAATCATTATTTGTTTATTTACGTCTTACACAACAGTCTCTTTTCTTTATTGAGTAGATCACTTTCTACTTCAGTCATCATAAAATACTCATTATTGGAAACTCCATTTAAAAGCCAAGATAACTTATTCTCTCGCATGCCTGTGCTCTCCTGTAAGCTAGTAGATTCATTCATGTATATATTTCACAACATAGGGATTTTAGTTTAGGGAAAATGCCAAATATTCTTACCGTGTTGCTTAAGTATAACTTTTTCTTTTCATGTTATCACGTGCGACAAATGTCATTCCAAACTCTATAAAAGAAAAGGAAATACATGGTATATGGTGGTAGAAGTGAAAACTTTTTTTCTCCCTTTTTGTCCCCCCCTCAAACCATCTTTAAATTCCTTGTTCCTTCTTTCTTATCAGGCTGACTGCGATTATTCCAGCCACACAGCCCTATTCCTTGACTATTTTCTTTCCTCTGCATTATTACCTAATTCATGTACAACAGAAAAACATCCACCCAGGATCTCCCATACACAAATCTACATTTTTCTGCTGCTGTATTAGTTGGTTTTCTATTGCTTATAATGAATACTTGAAACTGGGTAATTTATAAAGACATTTATTTCTTACAGTTTGGGAGGCTGGGAAGTCCCAGGTCCAGGAGTCACATCTGGTGAGGAACTTGTTCTGGTGTAAACTCTCTTACAAGGTCTTGTGACACCCCAGGTGACACTTGGCAAGAATGCAAATGGAAGCCTGTTAATACTCTCACATACCCTCCTTGTAAAGCAACTAGTCCACACCCATGATAACCCATTAAACCATTAACCCGTTACTGCAGGAATGGATCCATGCATTCATGAGCACACAATCACCTCTTAAAGGCCCCACCTTTCAAATGCCATAATTGGATTTCCCACTTTCTTGACATTGGTACAGTGGGGATCAGGTTTCCAGCACATGAACTTTTGGGGGATGCATTCAACCCCTAGCAGCCCCCTGCTTTATCCCATCTCTGGCTGTAAATAAAATTCATTTGATCTTTGGCCTCATATATAGGGGGCGGGAGCAGGGGTAGAAGTTTGGAGGAGTAAAATTAGAGATCACAAAGGCAGTTTTTTTGTTTGTTTCTTTATTATGAATATTCATGAGATACAAAGCTAATTGTCCCCCCTCGTGCCCATGATGTGAGGGCTGGATTCATACTGGGGGCATACCCATTACCAGAAATTACTTTTGTACCCCATGCCCCCAACCTTATTATCCCCAACTACCCTCGCCCCCGACTCTGCTTTGTAGCCCTAGGTATGTTCCCTCCCTCTTGTAAGACCAACACACCACTGTGGTCTTTCTTTCCTTCCTTCCTTTCTTTCTTGGCTCCCACATGTGAATGAGCACATGTGGTATTTATCCCTCTGTGCTTTGCTTGTTTCACTCAACATAAGTTTCTCCAGGTTCATCTGTGTTGTTGCAAATGGAAGTATTTCATTCTTTTTTATGGCAGAGTAGTATTCCATAGTGTATATATACCACAGTTTCCTTATCCAATCATCCATCGATGGACATTTAGGTTGGTTCCATATCTTTGCTATTGTAGACAAAGCTGTGATGAACATGGGAACGCAGGTATCTCTTCGACATGATGATTTCCAGTCTTCTGGGTATACACCCACAAGAGGAACTGCTGGATCATATGGAAGTTCTATCTGTAGTTGTTTGAGAAACCTCCATACTGTTTTCCATAGTGGTTGTACTAATATACAGTCCCATCAACAGTGCAAGAGTGTTCCCTTCTCTCCACACACTTGCCAGCATTTGTTATTCACTGTCTTTTTGATTATAGCCAGTCTAACTGAAATGAGGTGGTATCTCAATGTGGTTTTAATTTGCATTTCACTGACTAGTGATGTTTAGCATTTTTTTTATGTATCTGTTGGCCATTTGTATGTCTTCCTTTGAAAAATGTCTACTCAGCTCCTTTGCCCATTTTTTAATTGGGTTATTTATTTATTTATTTATTTACTGTATAATTGCTTGAGTTCTATGTATATTCTGGATATTAAAACCTTGTTGGATGCATAGTTAGCAAAAATTTTCTCTCACTGTGTAGATTGTCTTTTCACTCTGTTGGTTGTTTCCTTTGCTGTGCAGAAGCTTTTTAATTTGATATAGTCCCATTTTTTAATTTTTTTCTTTTGCTGTTTGTGCTTTCGGGCTCATGTTCATAAAGACTTTGCCCAGACATAATTGCTGAAGTGTTTCACCTATATTTTCCCTTAGTAATTTTACAGTTTGGGGTCTTACACTTAAGTCTTTAATCCATTTTGAGTTGATTTTAGGGTATGGTGAGAGATGTATGTCTAGTTTCATTCTTCTGCATATGGATATCCAGTTTTCCCAGCACCACTTGTTGAAGAGGCAGTCTTTTCCCCAACATAGATTTTTGTTGCCTTTGTCCAATATTAGATGGCTATAAGCCTGAGGGGTGATTTCTGGGTTCTCTATTCTACTCCACTGGTCTAAATGTCTATTTTTATATCAGCACCATGCTGTTTTGGTTACAATAGCTTTGTAGTGTAATTTGAAGTCAGGTAGTGTTATGCCTCTGGCTTTATTTTTTTTGCTCAGGGTTGCTTTGGCTGTTTGGGGTCTTTTGTTTTTCCCTATGAGAAGTAACATCGTTTTTTCCATTTCTGTGAAGAATGTCTTTGGTATTTTGATGGAGATTGGATTGAATCTGTAGATCACTTTGGGTAGTATAGACATTTTCACAATGTTAGTTCTTCCAATCCAAGAGCATGGATTATTGTTCCATCTTTTTGTGTCTTTAATTTCTTTCAGAAGTTGTAGTTCTCATTGCAGACGTCTTTCACATCCTTGGTTAAATTGATCCCTAGGTATCTTATTTTTTTTCATGACAATTGTAAATCGTCTTTCTTTATTGCTCTTTCTGTTAATTTATTACTGGAGTATATAAATGTTACTGATTTAGAGGCATTTATTTTCTATCCTGCAACATTACTGAAGTTGTTAACCAACTCTAGGAGTTTTTTGATGGAGTCTTTATGTTTTTCTGTACGTAATATCATGTCATCTGCAAATAGAGAAAGTTTGACTTTATCTTTTCCAGTCTGGATTCCCTTTATTTCTTTCTTTTGCCTGATTGCTCTAGCTAGTACCTCAAGTACTATGTTAAATAGAAGTGGTGAGAGTGGACATCCTTGTCCTGTTCCTGTCCTTAAGGGAAAGGCCTTCAGTTTTTCCCCATTCAGAATGATACTGTTGGTGGGCTTGTCATAAATGGCTTTTATTGTGTTAAGATATTTTCCTTCTATACCTAATTTGTTGAGAGTCTTTATCATGAAGGGATGTTGAATTTTGTCAAATGCTTTTTCAGCATCTATTGAGATAATCATATGGTCGTTGTCCTTGAGTTTGTTGATGTGATGAATCACATTTGTTGACTTTCCTATGTTGAACCATCTTTGCATCCCTGGGATGAATCTCACTTGGTCATAGTGTATAATTTTTAAAAATATGTTGCTGTATTCTGATTGCTAATATTTTGTTGAGAATTTTAGCATCTAGGTTCATCAAGATTATTGGCCTATAATTTTATTTTTTTGTTGTGTCTATCTGGTTTTGGTATCAGAGTTATGTTGGCCTCATAGAATGAGTTTGGGAGAGTAGCATCTGTTTCAATTGTTTGGAATAGTTCAAGGAGAATTGGTGTTAACTCCTCTTTAAAAGTTTGATAGAATTCAGCTGTAAAAGCATCTGGACCCAGACTTTTCTTTGTTGGAATATTGCCAATTACTGCTTCAGTCTCCTTGCTTGTTATTGATCTGTTTAGGTGTTTTATCTCTTCTTCATTCAGTCTTGGTAGTTTGTATGTGTCTAGGAACTTATCCATATCTTCCAGATTTTCATATTTGTTGTCATACACTTGTTTATAACAGTCTCTAATGATTCTCTGTATTTCTGTGGTATTGGTTGTAATGTCTCCCTTTTCATTTCTGATTTTTGTTATTTGGGTCTTTGTTTGTTTGTTTGTTAACCTAGCTAATGGTTTGTCTATTTTTATTTATTTTCTCAACCCCCCCCCCAACTTTTTGTTTCTCTGATCTGAATTATTTCTTTCTATCTACTACCTTTAGGTTTGGATTGTTGTTTTTCAAGTTCTTTGAGGTGTAGTGTTAGGTCGTTTATTTGAAGTCTTTCCATTTTTTTTATACAGGCATTTATTGTAATAAATTTGTCTCTTATTACTGCTTTTGCAGTATCCCACTGGTTTTGATATGATGTATCTTTATTTTCATTAGTTTCTAGAAATTTTTTGATTTCCTGTTCAATTTCTTCTTGGACCCATAGGTCATTAAGGAGCCTATTTAGTTTCCACGTATTTGTATAGTTTCCAGAGTTTTGCTTGTTATTGGTTTCCAGTTTTAGTCCATTGTGGTCTGAAAAGATACTGGGAATGAATTCAGTTTTTTAAAATTTGCTGAGACTAGATTTGTGACTTAATATGTGGTCTATCCTGGAGAATGTACCATGAGCTGATGAGTAGAAAGTGTATTCTTCAGTTGTTGGGTGAAATGTTCTGTATATATCTGCCAAGTCCAGTTGGTCTAGGGTGTAGATTAAATCTTGTGTCTCTTTGTTGACTTGTTGCCTGGAAGATCTGTCCCATACTGAGAGAGGGTTGTTCAGATCACCCACTATTAATGTATTAGGTCCTGTTTCTTTCTTTAGGTCTAAGAGTGTTTGCTTTGTATATCTGAGTGCTCCAGTATTGGGTGCATATATGTTTACGATTGTTATGTCTTCTAGCTGGACAGATCCCTTTATCATTAGTTAGTGGCCTTGTCTTTTTTAATGTTTTTTGGTTTAAAGTCTATTTTGTCAAATATAAGAATAGCTACTCCTGCTCGCTTTTGGTTTCCATTTGCATGGTATGTCTTTTTCCATCCCTTCACTTTTAGTCTATGTGTGTCTCTACAGGTGGGTAGGTCTCTTGCAGACAGCATATACTTGGGTCTAGCTTTTAAATCCAGTCAGTCAGTCTGTGTCTTTTGAATGGGGAGTTTAGTCCATTCACATTTAGGGTAGTTACTTAATTCCTGTCATTTAATTGCTTCCTGTTTAGATGGCTTAAATATCTTTTGATTATTATCTCCCCTTATATTTCTCTTCAATGTTAGTTGGGAATTTATGGTGAGATGATTTAGCTTCTTTCTCTTTTTTGCTGGCATTTTTGTTTTAACAGTGGGTTTTGCTCTTTTTTATGTGTTTGTGATATTGATCACCATTATTCAGATTCCAGATGAATGACTCCCTTGAGAATTTATTGCAGGGCTGATTGTGTGGTGGCAAACTTGCACAACTTTTGTTTGTCTGGGAAATACAGTATTTCTCCCTTATTTCTGAAAGAAAGCCTTGCTGCATAAAGAATTCTTGGCTGGCAGTTTTATTCATCTAGTATTTTGAATATATCGTTCAGCTTTCTTCTGGCCTGTAGGGTTTCAGTTGAGAAGTCTGCTGTTAGTTTGATGGGGGTTCCCCTTATAAGTGATCTGATGCTTTTCTCTTGCTGCTTGTTGAATTCTCTCTTTGTCTTTATGCTTTGCAAATTTAACTATAATGTGTCTTGGGGAGGATCTTTTTGGGTTGAATCTGTTTGGGGACCTTTGAGCTTTCTGGATCTGAAGGTCTGTATCTTGCCCTACACCTGGGAAGTTTTCTGTTAATATTTCCTTGAGTAGGTTTTCAATACCTTTTTCTCCTCCCCTTCTGGAATACCCATAATTCAGATGTTAGAGTGCTAGAGGTTGTCTGCTATCTATCTTAGATTTTCCTCATTATTTTAAATTATTTATTCCTTTTTTTTTGTCTGCCTGAATTATTTCAAAAGGACCATCTTCAAGCTCTGAAATTCTTTCTTCTACTTGCTCTACCCTGATGCTCAAGCTCTCAAGTTGTGTTTTTTTAGTTCATTCAGTGAATCTTTCATTTCTAGAAGTTCTGCTACACTCTTTTTTAAGGTATTAGTCTCTTTGTAGATTTCCTCCTTTATATTTTGGATATTTTTTCTTGTTTTATTGTATTCTCTAATTGAGTCTTCCTTTATTTCTTCAACTTTTCTTAAGATCGTTGCTCAAAATTCTTTTGCAGACATTTCAAGGATTCGCTGTTCCTTGGAGTCTGACTTGGGAATATTACTGTATTCTCTTGGTGGTGTCATTTTTTCTTGTTTGTTTGTACTTCTAGTACTTTTTTGTTGATGTTTGGTCATTTGGTAAAGGATTTGCTTCTTCTATTACACTGAGGTTAGCTGTGTAGAGGCCGTGGTTGCTACTGTGGTGGTGAATTGTCTTTGCTTGACAGTAGGTGTGGTGGAGGTTATGTTAAACCATCTTGGGTCCTGTTCCAGAATCTGTGGTCATAGAATGAGCCCCTAGCACTTCATGGTTCTGCTGGGCACACCTCAGCAGGTCAGACCCCACAGGGTGCGGCTGGTGCTCCCCTCTGGGTCCAAGGAGGGGAGAGGCATTTCTAGCTGTGCGGTTCTGCCACTGCTGCTGGTCTCACCTTGGTGTGGGTCGGGGTGCCCTCAAGGGCAATTTGAATGGTCATTGTATTAGTCAGGGTTCTCCAGAGAGACAGAATCAATAGGATACATTATAATTATATGAGAAGGATTTATTAGGGAAATTAGCTCACGCGACTGTGAAGAAAAGTCCCATGATAGTCTGTATGTAAACTGGATGCCGGTAGCATGGCTCAGTCTAAGTCCAAGGGCCTCAAAACTGGGGAAGCTGTTGGTGTCCTTGGTGTAAGTCATGAAACCCAAAAGCTGAAGAGTCTGGAACTCTGATGTCCATGGATAGGAGAGAACAGTGTATCCCAGTTCCAGTGGATTGAGAAATTCACCTTTTTCCTCTGTCTTTTGTTCTCTCTGGACCCCCAGCAGATTGGATGGTTCCCACCCACACTGAAGGTGGACCTTTCCCACCCAGCCCACTCAGGCTCTCGTGCTAATCTCTGCTGGAAACACCCTCATGGACACATCTAAAAAGATAGCTTTACCCTCAGCATTCCTTCATCTAACCAAGTTAACACCTAGAATTAACCTTCACAGTCATCTATCTTGTAGAGCTCAGAACTGTTACTCTAAATTAGCCCCACTGTGGGTATGTGTGTTGGGGAGGAGGTGGCCTTTGCTCACATCCAGTAGCAAAGAAAGGAATGAAAATTAGAAGGTAAAATGGTCTGTGCTGGGTGTGTATGCTGTAACCCAGCTCATGTATGAGCAGGAGCTGAGCGATGACTTCTGCATATAAATTCTTAGGATGGGGCTGTGGGTATTGGTCATCTCCTGTAATCCCTAAGATATTTTTTTAACTTATTAAGGGATTATGTTGCTCTTTTAGAATGTCAGAGTATACTTACCTGTGTGGATTAAACTTTGCATGTGGAAATAGCACTTCAAGTTGGTTCCCACTTATGAGGAGTGGGTTTGAGCCCTGCTTCAGAATGAGTACAGGTGGGACCACCGCCCGGTCTTGGTTCTCTACACTACTGGAAAAGAAACAGAGATGCCGACAACACAAAAATCATATGTTTCCTATTTTGTCTATTACATGACCTCTTACAAATTTACAGTTACAATTAAATTTTGCATTGTCGTGTCAGATTAGCTAGGCTGTGGGGTGGAAGCTGAGTGGTTATGAGAGTAAACCACTGTGTGTAAAAATCTGCAAGGAATTACGCTCAGTTCAGGTGTGCTAATTTTTTTTTCAAGACCATTTTATTAAGGATTTTATTTATGCTTCCACTTTAGTCATTGTTGGTATTCAAGCACAGACACATTCTGTCTGTCTGTCTGTCTCTCTCTCTCTCCCCCCCCCCCCCACACACACACGATCATTGTGTGGTGTTACTTTTACGTAATGAAACTCTCTTGATCCTTTATAAATTTCTTAGGTCAAACTTTATTTTTTTCCTCTAGCCAGGCCTTATATGTGGTGATCTGCTAAAAGATCCTGAAGCCACAGGGCGAACACGAACCATGTGTGTTGAATATCAACTTTGCATCACCTTGAAATCACACCTGCTGAATTTTTTTTTGTTGTTGTTGTCAAATACTATAGGTTTCAAAATTCACATAGGACATTTTTAGGTTCTAGTTTGTCCAGGAGGGAGGCCACTAGTGTTTAGTCAAAAGCTGGGACCACCATCCAAGACGTTGAGAACTGGAGTAGGAGGAGGGGTTTTCTTTGTGGGTGTAAGAGGCCGTGGTGTGTCTTGGAGGTGAGAAGTGGCATCGCCTGGTCTGTGTTTCAGGAAAATGATTAGGGGGGTGCAGGGAGAGGAAGGGGTTGGGCTGTTAAGCTGTGGCCAAGGGACGGATGGTGATAAAGGACAGAGCTTCAGTCACGGGATAAAAAGTGGATGAGGAATATGAGGGAATTGGGTGTCAGATTTGGTACCTTTCTGGAGGGTTGGGGTATAGTTGGTGGCACATGAAGTGACGGCCAGCCTGGGTGGTGGGGAGAAGTTGAGCATGGTCACCTGAGTGAGGGTTGGAGGAGAGAGAGAAGTCAGGGAGGACGAGGAGCAGAGGGCATTCGTATTGAAAATGTCCCGCCAGGCTGCCAGCGCTCGCGTCTGTCTTTCTGTTACACTTGCAGCGGTTTCCATGCAGAGGTTTCCTCTCTCAGTGCCGGTAGCGCTTTATGCCAATCACGGCCAACTTTAAAATAAACACTAGACGAGTTTAGCACGCATTAGTGTGTATTAAAGGGCCCTGGAGAAGGGACATGTGTCTTTATCTAGAGAGCCTGAAGACAACAAGATGTCATTGAAGGGATAATTTCCCTGTATTTTCTATTTTGCGTCGTGTGTGTGTGCGTGTGTGTGCATGTGTGTGTGCACGTGTGAGTGTGTGCATGTGTGTGTGCACGTGTGAGTGTGTGCACGTGTGTGTGCGTGTGTGCACGTGTGAGTGTGTGCATGTGTGTGTGCACGTGTGAGTGTGTGTGTGCGTGTGTGTGTGTGTGTGTGTGTTCTTTTGGAAGCCTTGTTTGTTTCTCCCAGTTAAAGAATGATTCAGGGGCAGGTTATATTCTCTCTCTCTCTGTCTCTCTGTCTCTGTCTCTCTCTGTCTCTCTCTGTCTCTCTCTCTGTAAGGTGCATGCATTCAAAAGTCCTCCATGGGAGCTTCTTGGGACGACCCGCGCCACACCTACACGATGGTGCCAAGTCTGTGACATCGATGGTTCTGTTTTAAGGTCCCGGCACAGTCTCACGTTGATTCCATGGGCACCGTGGGTTTTTCCTTTCGTCAGGAGACCTGATGGCTTCCGTGTCTTCTCCCCCCTCCAGGCACGGGGACTTTTGGGCGTGTGCACCTGGTGAAGGAGAAGACGGCCAAGCACTTCTTTGCCCTCAAGGTGATGAGCATCCCCGACGTCATCCGCCTGAAGCAGGAGCAGCACGTTCACAACGAGAAGTCGGTGCTGAAGGAAGTCAGCCACCCGTTCCTCGTGAGGCTGTGAGTCTGCCGCCCGGGCTCTGTCCCCACCTCCTTCTCTTCTTCCTCACTGTCCCGGGACCCCAAGTGTGTTTTTTTTAATAAGAAGTGGGATGGAGTGACATGACGGCATGCATGCACACCTCCAGATTATGGCAACAGCCCTGGGTTAGTCCATTTCTGTTGCTTAGAACAAAATTCCTCAAACTTGGTAATTGAGAAAGAGCACAAAGCTTATTGCTTACAGTTTCTGAAGTTAGGAAGTGTGAAGTCTAGGGAAGACAGCTGCTGAAGGTCTTGGTGGTGGGGACAGTGATGACAGAGTATCACATTGTGAAATGGCAGAGTAGTGAGAGAGACAGACTCTCCTCTTTTAAAGCCCTCAGAACCACACCCCAACCACCATTTCTAATCCACTCACTACTGCAGGGTCCTACAACCCAATCACCTCTTCAAGGCCCCACCTTTCAGTTACCATAATAAGATTTCCTATTATTCTTAGCAGTCACTGTAGGGACCAAGTTTCTAATACATGAAATGTGGGGGACACAACTTAAGCTTCACTGAGCTTTGGGGGAGTACAATTCAATCCACTACAGGTCTTGAGCTATATTAGTCCCTTATCTTAGAGATGGGGTCCCTCAGGGTCTCCTGACTCTCAAGGGCTCCTGACTATCAGGGCTGGCCAGGTCCAAAGAGAATGATGCTTTTCCTATAAGTGTCTGTTGGGGACCCCTTGCTGCCCTCCTGGGCAGGCCTACTATCTCTTCTAGGGTGTGGATGGCACTGCAGGACTCTCCGATTTCTTAACTCCTGTCAGTTTTTCAGGGACCTCCGTCACGTAGACTGTGATTTCTTTCATTCACTCAAGTCATTTAATGGGTTTCTAGCTGACTGTGAGGTATCTCCATTTAGATGCAAAGCAGACCCTTTCACATCAAGCGTATCCAATGTTTAACCCATGAATCCTTCTAGCGTTATTTCCTTGTATTGGTGTCTTAATCCATACGGGCAACTGTAACAAAACACCTTAGAGTCAGCAATTTATAAGCAACAGACATTTATTGCTCACAGCTCTGGAAGCCTCCAAGATCAAGGCATGGAAGAGTCGGTGTCTGGTGAGGACCTGCTTCCTGGTTCATAGATGATGCCTTCTCGCTGTGTCCTCACGTGCTGAAAGGAGCAGGAGGCTCCCTCAAGCCTTTTTTTATAAGGGCACTGATCCCATTAATGAGGGTAGAGCTCTTGTGACCTAATCATCTGCTAATGACCCTACCTCTTACTACTATGACATTGGGTATTAGGTTCCAACGTAGGAATTTGGGGTGGACATCAACACTTAGACTGTAGCCATAGGGTAAGGTCACTTTCCACCCAAATGTCTCTCTTCCCCCATACATGGGTGCCTTCCCTCCAATTCCCATGTCTTCTCTGCCATCTTGCCAGTAATTTCTCTCCCACCCCCCACACAACCTGTGCCTCGTATGGGCCCATCTCTCCTCCCTGGTTTCTCCACTGGCCTCTTAGCCGGCCATTCCCTCCCAGCCTTGCTTTCTTTGAAGAACTTCTTCAATTTATTTATTTATTTATTTATTTTTTTGTCTTTTTCCGTGTCCAGCAACGGATGGCAACCCTCAGTGTCGCCCCCGTACCGGACCGGGACCGGCAACGGGATCGCAAACCTCGGCGCTGCGCCCGCGCCTCGCTCAGCCAGTGAGCGGGAACCGGTCTGTATGTGGGATCCGAACCCTCGGCGGAAGCGCCTCCGCGCTTCCCAAGCGGCGCACTAGCACAGTGCGCCACCGGGCCGGCCCCAAACTTCTTCAATTTATAACCATATAGGTCTTCCTCAAATACCTGTCCAATGACCCGCTTTTCTCCTTTCAAGTCCCCCGTGAATTCCTGTGTAAAGCCCCAGTGACTTAGGATCCTTTGAAAGTCTCATTGTGGACTGGACTCTGGTTTTCCCTACAGGTTTGTCTCTTTTCCTACTGATCTTTCATTTGTGATCCAATCGTGGAAAGTGATCTACAGTAATACATGGATGGCTCTGTCCCTGTCAGCACTCTGGGGCTTCTCCTGAGCCATCCCTCCCTGAAATGCATCCATCTTCTGCTCTTCACCCATCGTACCTAAACAGCAGCCACCTCTCTTCTGTGCTGCACCTGTCTACCCGTGGAGGTGGGTGCCTCCGCCGTGCTGTGGAAGCATCTTGTGTGTACCCCAACACCGGAAAGTGCCCTGTTTGCCTTCGCCTTGAAATGTAAAGCTGTCTGAGCAATACGGCCCTCTGAGCCCCAAATAGCATCTTTCCCAGAGTAGGGACAGGTTGCACCTTAAAGGAGGGGGATAGAGAAACACTTCACTTTTTGTCCTGTGTTGCTTTATGGAGCTAAAAGACGATCTCATGTTGACGTTGAGGGGGGTCCATAGATCTGCTTCTGAGTCAAGAAAGCAAAACTAGCCAGTCCATTGTAGAGCCAACATATGTCACTAGGCCAGTAGTGGGACAGTGATGATTAAGAACTATAGTATGTGTAGATTTCCCTCTGGTGATTAAGAATACCTTCTAATTATTTCTCTTCTTTGAGCTAAAATTGTGATTTGGGGGAGAGCACATTAGCTCTCTAGGGTTTTAAATAATTTCAAAGGGAGATGTGGACCCCGTCATAATATGACAAATTGATCTCGCATGTTTTAGGCCAACTGAAACTTGGGCTTTTCTGACACACAGGAAGTCCCAATGTAAGAAACAAACAGGGCATGTTCCAGACGGTGTTTGTAGGTGAGTTTTCCTACAGAAAGACAATGCACCTGACAGTTGATACCGGTTTGCCTCCAAAAACCAAGTGGCACGGTCTGTGATGTGTTTGCTGTGAAATCTGGAGGACACGGGGAGAAACACAGTTGAGGGGGAAAACAGCAGGCCTCAGACACTGCTGTTGAGAAGGAACAAGTTTTGAGATGGGTGAAGAAGCAAGTGGGAGGAGTTCTTTCCACGACCCCAAGTGGAGAGTGGGCACGCTACCCTGTCTTGGTCACTTGATTCTGTCTTTTCTCAGGTGCAGGTGTCCTCAGCGTGGTATTGTGAGGTGTGCATAGAAGCTTGGGCTAGGGCCAGCCATTCTGGCAACGATTCCTTCTTGTGGGTTGAACTGTGGCCCCTAAAATGACATGTCGAAGTCCTCATTCTCGGTACCTGGGACTGGGAGCTTATTTGGAAATAGGGTCTTTGCAAATGTAGTTAAGATGCACATTAAGGTGAGGTTTACAGCAGCAGGGGTGGCCTTTAATCCAGTATGACTTAAAAGAAGGGGAAAGCCACAAACACAGAGGAGAGGACCCCATGAAGACAGAGATCAGAGAGATGCATCCATAAGCCAAGAACACCAGGGGTTTCTGGCAAACACCAGAACGTGGAAGAGAGGCATGTACCAGGTTCTCCCTCAGACCCTCCTAAAGGAACCCATCCTGCTGATACCTTGATATTGGACTTCTGATTTGCAACTCCAAAATCTTGAAAGAATCAATTCCTTCTGTCCTAAGGTGTATGGTAGTTTGTTACAGCAACCCTCAGAGACTAATACACACGCCCTCTCACCTTCTGGAGGAGGGGCTCACTTGTGCTTTACAGTTAAAAAAAATCCAGGCTCCCATGCAGGATTTTCATGAGTGTAGGGTCGGGTTGCGTGCACAGATCCAGCAAGTCCCCAGCATAGAATTCTTGAGCTTTTGCAAGTTAAAAACAGACAGGGAGGAGCTTGCAAAACAGAGCTGCAGTCAAATAATGCTGCTTTCCTCATGCCAGGAGAGCTCAGCAACCGTTTTCCTTATCAGACAAGGTGGGGCCCCCAGGGACAGACATTCTTATTTTCTTGTTTCGTGCTTTTAGTTAAGGATCGATGTTGTTTATATTCACAAAGTCTCTAAGCCCTGGTTTCATGGAATAAAATTCGACCCAAGGTTATCTTCATGGGTTTATTTTTATCTTTTAAGGAGAGAAATTTCTTGGCACCGTGATAACTCCATAATGGAACAGTTTGGATGCTTCTTGGATTATCCTGTGTCCCCAGGGCTTGCTCTGAGTGCTGCTTACAGGCAGACGTGTTCTATTATTCATGGGTCGGGTCCAAATGGTGTGTGGTGGCAGAGGGGCCAGACTTTCCTCATCATTTAAGTGTACGTGGACTTTAAGGCAACTTGAGGCATTATTCTCAGGAGGATTACATCTTGTTGTAGAACAGTGTGGCAGGAGTTCATTTAAAATTTCCCCACAGGTTTTGATCAGTGTTTGTTTTCCCCAAAGTCCTGAAATAGTGCAGAAAATCAGGCACACCTCTATGTCCACGGCTGTCATGAAAGTCTTTGGAATTATGGTCTATAGGGGATCCTTTAGAGGCTTAATAGTTATATAAATTTCCAGGTGACCTTTATCCAAAAATTAGAGAAAATGAGTTTGCCTAACGTATTGCTGTGTTCAGGCTGCCCTAACAAAGGACTACACACTAGTGTCTTAAGCAGCAGACATTTACCTGTCACAGTCCTGGAGGCTGGACGTCTGAGGTCAAGGCGTGGCTGGGCTGGTTTCTTCCGAGGCCTCTGTCTGGCTGGTAGACAGCGTCTTCTCCCCGTGTCCTCACATAGTCGTCTCTCTGTGCATGTCTGATAAGGACACCAGTCCTGTTGGATTAGGGTCCACCCTGGTGACCTCATTTTACCTTAATCTTCTCTTTAAAGACCCTGTCTCCAAATGCAATGATATTCTGCAGTCCTGGAGGTTAGGGCTTGAACATTTGAAGTTTGGAGGGAGACAACGCAGCCCATAACGCCTGCTTATTGATGTGCTAAGAGTAGGTGTCTCCGTGCACTGGGGTCTTATTATAATGGACTCACAGCATTTTGTTTTTTCTGTGCATTATCACCGGAGGGATCAGGTGGGCTTAAGAAGCCGTTGAAAGTTGCCCTGGTGCAGCCAGGCGCTTGGATTTCCCTATACATTGCACGGACATTGCACTGTATCT